GTATAAAGCATTACCGCAAGACCATTTACAGTCTTATTATGACATGAGTATCTAAACTTTAAATAAGATTACCTACCGGTACCCTTGGAATCATCTGAATGGGAGCGTTTCTTCTTTTTTGGTGACTTTCCTTTCTCTGTCGATACTTTTTCCATTCTGAGTGTTTTCTTAGTTCTTGGAAAGAAACTCAATTGCCCGAGAGGTAAGCTCTCTTCCTGAGAATCATCTGAGTCGCTGTCCCCTTAAGAAATTGAATTAAAAAAATCGAAGATAAAATAAATCAATACACTTTACAGAAATTTTAATTATATAAAATATCAAGAAGTAAACTCTTTTGTTGCGACAAACCTATTACGCTCTTTTCTCAATAAAATGTAATTGAAAAAAGAAACTAAAAAGAATGGATACATTAGACATAAAATAGAAATATCTACTTACCATACACTTGTGAATAACGCACTTCTGGTTTTTTAACTGGGACAGAGATTTTTGCCTTTGGACCAACATGCTTGCTTGACGATTTCTGTATGACTCTCTTGATTGCGGCGTCTAACACTAGTTGTTTACCTGTGTCTTCTCCTGGCATTGGTAGTGGCTTGGGTTCTTCATTCGACGGACTTAGTAGGTTGCTTGGGTTAGTTTTCTTGGACAATGTTTTTGAAGTTGGGGGTTTTGCTGTTGAAAAAATAATCAAAAGAGAGTGCATATTTAGACACAAAAATGATGACGTTTCACGCCTGTTGTGATGTTACAAGGGGCATTACCAGTTGGTATTTCTTGTTTCTTGTAACACTAAATGTTATTGGACTGGTGACGTCACAACCGTCAGGCTGTAGACGTCATCCTTCAGTATGTAAAAAAAGATTGTGATCTAAACATTCAAATGCATGTTTTTTTTTTTATAAAAATTTTATAAATTGGACATGGAAACAGATGAGTTTATTTTTTCAGAGAATGGTCATAAAATGAATGCAATTTGTATTTTACAAATGCTAGAAAAATAATACAGTAGTACATGAAAATATTAAAGCTCAATATCAACTTACCTTTTTTGGGGGAATCACCTGGTTGCATTTTCTTTTTCTTTTTCTTTTTTGGTTTGTCAACATTCGTTGCATTCGTCAATGTTTGACCTTCAAATAAGAACAACAAAATGTATAAATATCATTAACATCATACCAGTATAATAAATAGTTGGGAGGGTATGTCGTTATTATAAGGATCAAAGGTAAAAAGTATATTATCTAGGTAACTAGTCGCAAAATAGACTTCACTCGTAGGCAGTCAAATGTGAACTCATACCTTCTTTACTTTTAGCTTTTACTGAAGACTTGTTATTTTTTTTCATAACAGCAGTCATAAGTAATTTTTCTTGCAACTTTTTCGTAGTATTCTGGAAAAAATGAAATCGTTATAAGTTATTGCAGAGCCGTTGTGTTTCTTTGCATTCTAGATCCAAACATCTGTAGTGGGCTAAAACGCAAGAATTGTCAACTGTTATCGGAATAGACGTTTAAGTAATGAGTCCAGTGTGAAACATGGCTCTTGTACACGTTAAAGAAAACAGTACATTGGAAAACAGTAAAAAAGTCGCTCCCAATTCACCACCAGAAAAGTATAACTGGAAATAATTCTTCGGACTTTTGTGTGTTAACCTTGGTTTGTTTCACACTGATGAAATCCAACCAACTAATCCGTACAGTGGACGTACCTTATACTATCCCCATTCTCTTCTATTAACATAAAACATGTAATAACTGGAGTTCCTTACTTTCTTTTTATTTTCAGTTAAAGTTTTACTGGGAACAATTTTCTCAGCATGGAAATGTAATTGCGGTAAACTATCCACCTTTTCAGCTGCCGACAGTAGTATGCCGGTGGAATCAGGACGACTTGCCCTGCAAAAATAAAAAAAAATATATGATTGTTTCGCAGTTCATGATTTAGTTTGGGGGTTGTTTCGAGGTTTCGATGACAGTGTGCCAGCAGATCATCAGAAGAAAAAAGAAAATAATTTTGCTAACCACATGTTCACAATTAACCTTGTTGTTTCCTTTACATAATGATGTTTACCTATAATTCGGTATTGCAACTGTCTTCGCTGCATGTTTGGAGCTCGACCGTCGTTTCCTGGGACGTCCTGGACTCTTCTTGCTGTCCACTTTCTGAATTCTGAATATAATTTATAAACAATATTTGAAACGTATAACGAAAAATGGTTAACAAAATATATTTAAAAGTGAATAATGTGCAAATTATTAGCCTAAAAAGGCCTGGCCTAAGCATAACCCAGTAAGCCAAAAAATTTACACAAACATAAGATTATGCAAAACATATTCACTCAGCAAATGCATATTTACGTACTTTTTTAACTTTCTCCTTTGCAGTCTGTCCAATTCCCTCTTACGTTCTTTATACTTTCGTTGGATTTCTGCCATTTTCATTCTCATCTCTAGCTCATTTGGATTCATCATGTCACTACCCATCTTGACGTCGTCGCTGCCTAATGTTTCTGTTTATTAAAATGGATTTTCATCATAAAATAATGCTTTGTCAGCACAATCACATATTCTGCAACATACATCCGTGAATTGCCTATTATATGGACATGATGTTGTCACATTCAAATATTGACAATTCAAGTATTTATCACATGAATAATGAATAAATAATTTAAAATTATATTATACAACGAAAGATAGATTAGTGTAAACAGGATATTTGTATTATTACAAATCATAATTTTTTTTTTCAACCACTTACTTTCTTCATCTTTCTTCATCTTTGCAAGACGCTGTTTGTAGAGCAGTTCACTGGCAGACTGTGAATCAGCTGAGCTGACTGTGTTGCCTGTAAGCTTTTCGATTGGTTCTTCTTCCTTTACATCTTTCAATTCTGAGCTTTCAGAGAATGCTAATAAGTACAAAACCATCAGTTAAATATTTGCTATTTAAAAGTATTTATCATTTTATTTATCGCAGCTAACAACAGATACATAACTAGCCAATAGACCTTTCCGGAGTGTCAATCAAACTTAACAACTGACTAATCAGAACAGCGCTAGGAATACGCGCGCGTCTGACAAACACACGTGTTGTCCCACAAACGCACGTGTTCGCGTATGTTTTAAAACTGTCGTCTTGTGGGACCTCGGCTACAATATCCAAGGGGCGGGGCTTACAGGAAAGGTCCATTATATGGCAGAATAATGATAGGCCTAAGCTTAACCCGGGTACTCACTGCGCACGACGGTCGTCGGCCGACGCGATTCTATCGCGACGACGCGCGCGCAACGGATCGTTTTTAATGACGATCCATTCAGACTGCTAGCGACAATCAGCAGACGGCGGAGGGAGCGGAGTTGGATTCGTCATACGACGCAGTGAGTGCCCGGCTCAAATCTCATTATGAGACAGAGTAGAGTCAGTTTATCAATGAGAAAAAAAAAACATCTATCGACAAGTATTTGAACCCAGGACACTGTGACTGATACAGTAGGCAAACCATTAAGCTACAACTCCACTTCAGGTATAATTACAATTTTAAAATCATGCCTATAGATTTTATATTTATACAATGAATAAATAAATGTATGAATGAATGATGTATTGTGATGTGTTAATATGGTATATGAATCATGAGTAATAAGCCAAATGACATTTGTGAGATACAGTATGAATCATAACAGTTAGTTTAACGAAACAATAGAAATGAGTAAAACCTTACAGTATTCACAGAAGGGTTTCTGTTGAGCCACAGCACTTAACAGAGCAATCCCATTAAGCGACGCAAGCTGACTGATGTCGACGACATCAGGCGCATCTAATTGGGCTGGTTTGGCAGTCTCAACAACAGGAACCGATGCAGTAAGGTTAAGAAGGGCCTGCATAGCACAAGTAACATCCTCAGATCTATCAATATCATTGATGTTTGACTCTTGTACAGATACATTTGATATACTTTCATGTTCTGGTACACTTTCACAGAGGTTTTCCGTTGATTTCTGTATTGAAAAAGCTAATGGATCCCCTTGGCTATCTGTTTTCATACTTAGATCTAAAGCTTCCCCAGATTGTATAGGAGTTCCAGTAGTCACTGGGGTAGATTCAGGCGGAGATGTGTTAATTTTGAGTGGGCTCAGTGGTTGGATTGTTTGTGTTCCACCAACATCGATAATTTCATTGTCAGAACTCTCGCAATGTCCGTCTAACTTTTCTTTGTTCAATTCATCAGTCTTTAAGTCTTTGGCAACATGCTCCGTAAATGTCTGGACACTAATGCTCTTGACAACAGTTGCATTTTCTCGGCATTGCTTGTCCTTGGGTTCGGATTTTGCAGAATGGGACGTTGACTTTGGAGAATGTAGTTCAGACGCACTTGAGCCCCGAGAGGAAGGAGGCTTTGGACGATGTTTTTCATCAATAGAAATTGAAGGTGATTGAACAGGAATAAAAGCCCTTGTTGCTGGATCAAACACATACTGTATACCTCCATGCCCTGGGTACACAGCTGGCAAGCCTAAGTGCCCAATGCCTGGTAAATAGGGATGACAATGAGTAACTTCAGCAGCTTTTTCTTGATTCTGAACATAATCGAGGGCCGATCTAGGCCTTGATAATTCACGTTTGTGCTGTTCTTGTCTTTCGTGAAACTGTCTGGCATACTCTGCATAGGCTTGTTGTTGCTGTTGTACGGCTGCTTGGTATTCCTGACTAGCTTGTTCTTGTCGTTCGGGGGTGTTTATGCCGTACATATGTTGACTCATCAAGAGTTGGTGGCTTGGGTGTTGAAGATGAGGAGGAACAAAATATGGAAATCCTAAAAACCCAATCAATAACAGAATTTAGTTTAGTAGTCTCGAGACATTAATATTTGGTGTATAAATCTACCAAACAAAGACACTTTGAATAGAGTGTTAAATATAATTTACACACATCAAAAGCCGGATAATTTGTTAGAATTTATAGGCATAAAGTTGGTGGTAAAAAATTACATTTTCATAATATTATACATACCATCATATATTACCGAAGTACGTTTTTTAATTTGTTTATTTTTAAGATCAAAACCCGGCTTACCTCCAGCATCAATTGTTGGTATCCAAAGTAACTGACCGGTTGCCGGATCTTTAGCTAGCTGCCAACCAGGAGGAGGCAGAGGAAGTTGACCTTGTGCCGAATCTCCAACAGCTGGGTTGTATGTTGCCGGGTGCGTTGATGAAAGTCCGTAAGCACCACCAGGCAGGTAGGTAGGACGAGTAGCTGCCATTCGTGTGTACCAATGGGGGTCATGAGTTATTGCAGGCGTTGAAGACTCGGACTTCAGCAACGAACTACGTCGATAATCTTCGCCTCCTTTGATAAAATAAAACCACAGATTTATTGATCATGTTGCAGCGTATTTAAAATAATAATTAACTTGCGTGATAGTAAATACTAAACTGTACCTGTAACTATCAGATTTGATCCAAGTCGATTGTTTGAAGGTGGTCTGGAACCGTCAGCAATATCAAACCTGAGGAGTAATTAAATTTAAATTTGGCTAATTATAACACTAAAATCATGACAACGTATTAACAAATATTTTATTAACCTATTTTGTGGAAGTTGTGTGTTGCAGCGCTTAAGGCTTTGGAATAAGATGTCGTGGGTTGGAGATTGATGTTGTCCCACTGAATAAATAGGTGCCTTGTAGAAGGTGAATGTTTAAAATGAAATTGTAGCGCTAAATTATACGCATAAATAGCAATACTACCTAGGGAATGGAGGCGGTTGCATGTTGTGTCTGTTTGATTCCGTATCCAAAGACCTAATATAGTTCTTCGGGATTTGTGCGCGATATAGTTCATATAACATACTACTATCGCAGTCTTACTTACTTCCCACGAGTGCCTTCACAATTTGCGTCCCCACTTGCAGGTCTAGATCCAGACTGTAAACTATACTTCCCTGAAGTAGCAAGTGTTGTGAATATTTACAACAACTAAATAGTTATCATAGTCAATAACATAAGACGACGCAAAATAATATTTGTGTATATTAAAAGGATCAATCTTGTATTTTATTATGTCAGGATACTTGTTTAATTGCAAAAATTACTATTTAGATGGTTTTCAAACTCTCATTAGTTTAGGAAAACAAGTTTTAAAGGTAAAAAACACATGATTACAAGATTACTCAATAAGCTAAAGCTCCACTCTGATACATAAAGTGTTCATATTACAACCACCATACTTTGCAATGGCTATTGTTAATCTCCTCATTCACAAACTTTTTTTGGCAATTGTTTCACACAAGATGACCCAATAAAGTCGAAACGTCAATTCATGGCCTCTCTTTCTGTATTTGGAGGTACGTTTAGTCTATTCATAATAAAGCAACGTGTTATACCTACCCCGTGATCTTGAAGGGCCCATTCCAGCATCTCTGCCATGTCTCTTCTGGGCGACAGCAATGCCAACTGGCGGTGGTGCTTTGCCACTTGGTGTAGATCTGCCCTGCTGAGTAGATTCTAAGGCTTTTGGTCCAGTCTTAACACCAGCAAAATCTTGTTTTCTACTCGGGTAGTTTTCGGTGATATTTTTAGCATGTTTGTTGGAGTTATCTTCTCCAGAACGATGGTGAGTCCTACTGGTGATGGTTTTGGAAGTTTTTATATGTTGGTCCTTTGGCGAGTGTTTCGCTTCCTCCATAGTTTTTGGCACTTCAATCTTGTTAAATTTTTCAGTCTGTTTTTGTACAGATATCACTCCATCTCTACCCACATTCATAACATTATCCTGTGACCTAAATTGTTCTACTTTTATCGAATCCGTTGACTGATAACTCATCTTGGGATCGATCTCTAATTGTTTTGTCAATACGTGTGAATTTGAGTCGTTTTTCAAACTGAAACTATCACCTTTACCACGCTCATCAGCTAAATTACAAATATCTTTGGTTTCAATTGAAGTCGATGACATCTTGAAGGAGTTTCCTTTCTCTTTTTTGATAGTAACTTTTGTGTGATCAACTCCAGGAACAACAGAACTTGACTTTGGCTTGCCTTCTCGGTGAGCCGATCCGGAACCGAATGTTGGAATGTAGTCACCCATTGCAGGAACGAAAGTTGTAGCATGTACCTTTGTGCCATCCCTGACCACTCCGTGGTGGGACTCGCGTTGAACAGTCATGCAACCTGTACCGTTAACGTAGAGAGGAAGACTAGTGAGGGAAGATGATGTGGGCTGATTAACTGTAGAGAATTTGTTCTGACCCGAAGAGACTGAAATAAATCAAAATAGGAAAGCGATTCATTACACAAATTATGAAAAAAAAATGATACTATTAATTTGTTAGGAGGGATAGACCTGTACAATACATTAGCGGGTTATAAAAATAGTATGACATAGGCTGTATTAGCTAACTTTCCTTCGTTTTTTTTTAGCAAGACGTATCGGTCGGTTTTAAGTCTTGACCCAAGCGTACGAAAAGTTCGGATATATAACACATTTGGACTTAAAAGTGCAAGTAATGTTAGTAAATCATGAAATTTAATGTTGTGGTTTTAAAAATATTACATATTATATAATTAAAAGAGTGTTACCTGTATATCTTGAAGAAGATGTGTGACAGACATTTGAAGGACTATTTGAAGTTGATGAGGGATTTACAGGAGGAGATCCTGACATTAACTGTGCAGGCGATGTCTTCGTACTACCTAGTTTTACAGGATTTTTAGAAACGAGTTCAATGGCTTCAAGTTCTGATTTTGTCCCAACATTCAACAATGTTTTAGGAGGTGTAGATAACGGACACATTGTAGTAGAAGAACATTTTGACGTTGGTAATACTGGTGCAACTGTTAACTTCACTGGCTCCGTCACTACTTGTTGCGAGGGCGTCGGCTGTGTTGGTGAAAATGACGAGGTCTTTATTTGTGACTGTTCGTTTTTTGGAAGCTCAACGGAATCTGTTAAAACAACATCCTTGTGTTCACTGTGTCCTGGATGAATAGTCTTCGATGTAGCTTCCACATTCAGATTTTCTACAACTCTTGAGATTGTATTTGTTAGCGCTAACTTCTCGGAGACGTTTTCCGAAATTTTATCTTTCTTTAGAATACATTCTTTGGCACTTATTTTCTTATGGTCTATTGGTTCTTGTCCACCTTTACCTTCGGTCGTTTCTACATCTTTAATTAGTTCGTTATGAAAAGTTTCTAACTTTCCCTGACTTTTGTTCTGTATCTGTTCCGGTGTACTAATCTTTTCACAAAAATCTTTGGCTTTACTTATATTCTCTGAACTTTGGTTCTTAATTTCCTTCGGAACCTGTGCTACACTTGATTTATGTTCCTCTTTCAGCTGCATTTCTGTTGGTTGACTTGGTTCTGACGGTATGTTAGTTTTTTCATTATTTGATGTTAGTTTTTGTTTACTTTGGCCTTTGACGGCATTGTCTCTTAAATCATCTTTACGTTGTTTATCATGATCAGCTTTATCACTTCTTTTTTTATTTCCTTCATTTGTTTTCCTACTTTTGTGTTCAGTCTTACTGGTCTGTCCTTTCGTAATTTCTTTGTAACGTTCAACGTTGGCTGTATTTAAACTGTCGCCGTGGTGGTAAAATGGCAGGAGGTCTCCATGTGACGGTGGTCGAATTAGGGACGGAAGGGTCGTATCAGCTGCTTGAAAGATAAATAAAATTTAAGGGCACAAACTTTATTAATAATTATAATTTTAAAGTTTTCTCGGAAAATCGAATTAAAATTTTATTTTTATACATAACAAAGATTAAAAAGTTTGAAATGCGCATATCTAATCTGGAAGTTCGAAACATTCACATGGCGTATTTTAATAATAATTAATCAACTAATTCTTTAGTTGACCATTGATAAATAATTTCAATTCAATTGTCTTGCACAAAATATATGTTTTATTGTTTTAACCAAAGCAACTGACCAATTCTTGGAGTAACAACATGTGCGAGTGAAGTTAGGGCGTCCGGAGCTGACGGGTGAAGCGGCGTTAATGGTAGGTATGGATGGTAAAAAGGTGGTGGAAATGGGTGCAAGCCTGTAATTAAATAGATAAATCATTTTAAGGATCTGAATATATATATATATATATATATATATATATATATATAATAATAATAATAATAATATTTTATATAAGTTTATTTTGTGGAGCAAACGATGGCGCTATTTGTTATCTTTTACAAACTCATACCAATAGGATAATAATAATAATAATCATCATCATAATCATCAACAACAACATCACCACCAACATTCTTCTCATCATCATTATTAATGCATAATATGGAATAAAGAGCACCTTCTGACGTATGAGGCCAGTAATGCGATGCCAGAGGCATGGAATGGGAAGATAGTCCTACTTCTCCTTGGTGATGCTTGAACACGTCAGGTGACCTACTTGGTTGTAGGAAATTTGAAAGGCACGAAGGATAACTGCCACCTATATAAAAAAAAGCATTAAAAAAAATACACTACACACTATACACTATAAAATTTAATTGGAAAAATTAACTGTGTTATGCCAATATTATGGTGTGATATAACATCATCATGCCTATATATGTGGCCACATCACAGGGGCACATCACACAAATTAGTACATTGATTTGATGATACACTCTTAACTGTTCCATTATGCTAGTCGTCAAAATGACAACAGAGAAACTTCGATGATAGATATCCATAGGTACTACCAACATTCTTTATTGTTTTAAAAACCTTGTTTTTAATCACATTTATTTAGATATTTAAAAATAGAAAAGATTGTATGAATTCACATCTTTATCAATTTATTATGAGACAAAATTACAATTGAGGGCGTCCGTTCCGTATGTACCAATTTAGCACTTTTTTAAAAATATATTTATGCATATCTGTATCATTATATTCTTTATCACACCGATAATGTACTTGCATCAGGACTAAAAAACAGGGATATATTGAATACTGGCCCATTCAAATCATCGACCACATGAACGAGTGTTGCCCAGCAGTCAACGTTCTATGGCTAAGGAAGAATCCGGTTTGATCTGAAGCAAAAATAAGTGTACAATGCGAAATGGCATGACCTACCTGAACTTGCTCCGGGCAGAGACTGCGGTGGCGGAGGAAAACATTTTCCTGCGCCTTGAAAATGTGCAGGTAAGCTTGACGTCTGTCCTGAAACCGATGTCATCGTTGGTGCCACAGGTGGGGATCGCCTAGACCGATGTGATGAACCAACATTAGGTATTTGGCACATTGAACCAAGGTGATGAAGGCCTCCACTACCAGTTCCTTGGGTTGGTGGGGCTGCTGCCACGTGGGCAGGTGGTTGAAAAGGCGAATTTGACCCAAGGAAGAGACCCCTGCCATCAAGGACTGAACGTGTGTCCATCACTACAGGTGCTACGTCCACATCATTGCAAGACTTTCTGAAAAATATAAATATCATTACGATAGTTAGTCATGAAGATAAAATAATATGAAAAGCAAATAAATGTAAATTCAAATAATGCGTTTTACTAAAGACGCATTTTCTTTTAATAGTAATGGTGTTAATGGTCGAATTTGATTTTAGAGCAATTAATTACACACTATCTCTCTATAATAACTAAGGCATAATGACCTATTTAACTTATCAAAGAAACTCAGCAAAGGAACCACTAAAATCACTATTTCGTTTGCCGGAACTTTGAGCTCCACCCCCAAACATTACTCAGAAGACCTCAAACGATGCCGGTATCTGACTGTCCTATCATTATGCCTAAGCATCAATGTAGCTGACTTCCTATTGGCATCCTAACAGAAAACTCTTCATGATGTCTATGAGACTGGACCTGCGTAAGTTTGTTACGGGCAATTAAATTCGACAGACGTTCCGTTGTGAAATAAATGCTCAATGTAAAAAGAGTGTTCAGGGGCCAAATTGCAGTTTTACAATCATTTCAAGAAATTCAAGCTGATACCTTCTAAGTTGAGTTTTAGTTATTTTATTGGCAGTGGTACCGTACCGTATGGTATCTCGGTAATGGTGAGTGTTCCTAGCTGATGCCAACCCTAACCTTATTTATTTATTTATTTATTATTACCGAGATAACGTACGGTACGGTACCGTACCTCTAGATACATTGTATTTTATTAATGAGAATTAAAACACGGTGACGTTGTATGAACTGTATCTTAAGTCAAAATGATTTTACCTAATGAGTAGCTATAATGTCAATATTGTAGACCTTTGTGTCAAATAAATGTAACCGTTGCCTGGTAAACTATACAATGATAAGCTGATTCTGTACGACAATCTATTCACGTCTATGTGAGTTATTCGGAATGTCCTCGCCCAATTTGTGATAAAACTCTGATATTTAAGTTTGAGTTGGAACTACTTATTTATTACGGTACGTAAACAAAATAATATTGTTCAACCGGAAACGATATTGTTGGAAATACCAAGTATGCTATTTCATTTACTGCTTGGTAAGTATGGAAAAAAACGATTGTAAACAGCATTTTTTTTGTATGTAAACCTGGTGAATACAAATACCGCTTGATTACTTGGAAGACTGGCTGTACTTCTTGTGTCAAGTGTGTACAATCGTTTTTAATCTCTTTTCACGCAGTCAACCCGTATGAATTCAATTATTAAAGGTCATTGACTTTAAATTGTTCTAGCTATCTAATCGAAATATTAATAGTAATTTCCGTTTAATAGCACCGTCTGATTCATATGTAATTGTTAACATATAAAAAGTTACTTTATGATTCAACGAAAATAAATTTAACAATGAAAAATGAGTGTTACGGTATATTAACCCTTGATTAATGACATTAATTCCAATTTTGTTAATGACATATAACAAGAAGTTACAGGTAATTTAATCACAAACTACAAAGACAACAAAATTATTTGTATCTATTATTATACAATATATGACATGACACGCTTAATTTACATTCATGTCAATGTCACACTTAAAATCTAATCTAATCTAGTTAGTTATATAGCACCTTTCTTTTCAGATACGAATAGCTGTAAACTGTGGATTATAAGAAGATTGTTTAGACTAGATGAACACGAGCCAGGAGAGAGTGTGTTTGTATCTTTGCGCATAGAGACACTGTATTATACGCTCTCTAAATGCCCACCAATACCAATACCTCTATTTAGGCAGTGTAGACGCGAAGATGCTGTACATTTTTTCTATGTAAAAAGTTCACACTTTCTGTTTAATTCACTTCATTTCAAATTAAAAAGGTACCAATGCCTTGGGTGTCGTGTAAGTAAGAACATTCTCTATATTATTATTATTTTTTATTATTTTTTTAAATTATTATTATTATTATTATTATTATTATTTTTTATTATTATTATTATTATTAATTATTATTATTACTATTATTAATAATAATTATTAATATTATTATTATTATTATTATTATTTCATTTTTTATATAGCGCATATTCTGTTACTAAGCGCTTAGTTTTTCCTGGTCATTGAGTCCGCATGCTTAAGTGTTGTTGCTGGTAATCAGCGTAGGAGCAGGCAAATGAAAGCTAATTACGTCATGGAGGAATTAATTACATTGAAGCTTTAAAACAGGCATAATTTAGTCGAGCGTGGTTTATTATAATGGTTTGTTCTAATGTAGTAGCAGTTAACTTTAAGTACAGATATTATGCTGCCCTCTATAAAGAATGATTTTTTTTTTGTAAATTCACATGCATGAACGTAATATAGTACTGTGGACATGTGGTTAACATTAGCACCCTACTGATGGCGTTGATGGACGTTCAAATGTAAAGAAGCTGGTGTGGTACGCAATGTTGGCTTTCTCTAAAATGGCGTATGTGTTGAATGTAATGCGAACATAAATGTTTTATCACAGTTGGATATGAAAACGTGTTGAAACACGGACAAAGAAATTAATACGGATGCTATACCCAACGAGATGGTTAAATAATCATTTTATTTTGTACAATGCTCCATGATACAATGGATTATTCATTTCACAGGCAGCGTTAAGCAACCGGTAATATTCCAATTGTATAGAGAATATTTCTTTGAGAATGCTATCGATAAATTTAAAAGTATCTATTGCGTCATCGATTTAGGGCCGAGGTGGGGGTGGAGAAAGGACAGCCGACTCAAGTGTCCTGGGTTCAATAATTTTGGGGGTTACGCCCCACACTACTGATTGTTTGTCATTCGAACGCAATGGGCACTAAAGTGGGTAGTCCTTGAACTCCGGAAACGCTCTCGGCGGCCCTGGTTTTAGTTGTTTCATTCGTATACTGTAGGCCTACACAATTTTATCATAAAGATAGGGGGAATACTCTAGTTCTTCTACCAATCATTATCTGCAGCACCCTGACACATCGCTACATTACATTCGACACATACGCCACTTGACACATCGAATGATTTATGGTCTGCCACCATAGAGTTGTTACAACCATTCAACGAGAGATGATTCAGCTTTAACATACGGATGATGCATTGAGAAAGGATGGAAATTGAGGTGAAGGGGCAATCCAGGCTTAGGGAAAGTATTTTAATCAAAGGGGCTGATAAAAATAATCACGCCAATATGTGTAATTAATCAATGTGCAATATGTATATCATCGATATAAATAGAAATGATATCAAATTATCGATAAAATGGCGACGATAGCTCATGGAAGTTAAAAGCCTCCGTTATGTTTAACTTTAAACGTCGTAACTTGTAACACAAGCGCATTTAATTTAGATAACATCAGGATATAAATTGTTCAGAGGTATATATATTTAGTATGATATTTTTAGCCTAACTGAATGTACATTTATGTTCGGAATGAACTATCGTCGACGACTTGCATTGAAAAGAGATTCGCTCAGTGAAGAAGAACAAGGATGTAATGAAAATCGAGGAAGATCACATATAATAATAGAACCATGGAGGAATTAGCCGATAGCACAACGACAGAAAGTGACGTCGTGGTCAAATACCGGTAACACTAACATCAATAATATAACGACCATGCAATTACAAAACCAATAACAATAAAAAATATCAGTAAACAATAAAAACGACAGTAACAACTGCATCAACAATAATAAAAACAATAATAATAAATAACAATATTAGCAATGGTAACACTATTAACAATAGTAACAAAAACAATAATAAAAACGAAATAAACCAGAAAATGATAACAATAATAATAATAATAATAATAATAATAATAATAATAATAATAATAATAATAATAATTATTATTATTATTATTGATTGATTAATTTAAGACATTTAATTCAAATGAATATAAGACTCTTACAATAATTGAATTTCAAGTTATATGAAATCGGCCGTTTAATTCGAACACGGATGTATTGAAAATCGAGGAAGACCACATATAATAATAGAACCATGGAGAAATTAGCCGATAGCACAACGGCAGAAAGTGACGTAGTGGCCAAATACCGGTAACACTAACAACAATAATATAACAACCATGCGATAACAAAACCAATAACAATAAAAATATCAGTAAACAATAAAAACGACAGTAACAACTGCATCAACAATAATAAAAACAATAATAATAAATAATAATATTAGCAATAGCAACAATATGAACAATAGTAACAAAAACAATAATAAAAACGAAAGAAAATGATAATAATAATAATTACTATTATTATCATTATTATTAGGCCTATTATTATTATTATTATTGATTGATTAATTTAAAATATTTAATTCAAATAAATATAAGACTCTTACAGTAATTGAATTACAAATGATATGAAATCGGCCGTTCGATTCATAACAATAATCACAATAGGCAAATCATAGAATATATTTTTTGAAGAAAATTTTATTGACGCTCAACCCACAAGCTACAGGGCACAGCATCTGCATAAATGTACACTTAACTTGAGGGAACAACTATGCCCTGACGTACGTCAGATGGGCTCCTGGTTACAAGCCTACTACCGAAATCGACTTATGATACCGATATATTTTCTATTTAATATTGTGCACCTTCAGAATTGTCGATGCAAAATATTTAATATAATGGTGTATAGATTGTATAATCTTCTCATTTAATGCAACGGCTAAGATAAATAATAAATCTATAATGAGCGTAGTACGGTTTTGCATGGGCACGAGAAAGATCTTGATGAGGAAAGTAGAGTATCAAATCTCGCAAGTGGCAAAAACGCTCTTCTCGAAATATTACCATAGTTAACGTACATACAGTAAACCAACCTCGTATTCATGATTTCATCAGCGATTCAAACAGAATATTAATATTAAAAGTGGGTATCGCTTCCCATGATTCAGCTGAAAGGCTCGTGTTTCCTCCATAACACTGGCTCTTCTCAAATTTTAAAGAGTCTATACGATAGACGTGCCTGTCAAGATACAGTCAGTGTTTTCACCCAAT